ATTTCCTATCAGGACACGTGCCTGGGCTGCAAGCCAGGTCCCTGGTTAGGGGTGTACAAAAGGCAACCAACTGGTGGACTTCTGCCAAGATGGAGGCGTAGGTGGAAGCACTGCACCTTCTCGTACAACCAAGTTTAAAAACAACAAAGTTTTAGCAACAAAAACGCAGCCAAACCACAGAAAATTGAACTACATGGAAGTCTGACAACAACGGACCCTTCAGCCAAACCAGTAATAGGGGCAGAGCCTGCAGCAGAGCAGGGTCAGGCAGGAAAGATCCACCAGACCAACCCGGGCGTGCGACCCAGGTGCACCATCAGCCGTGGCGGATCCCAGGTGTGGAGAAGCGGGCGGACTCACTGAGGGCGCAGGGCGGTGGACTCACTGAGGGCGCAGGGCGGTGGACCCACTGAGGGCGCAGGGCGGTGGACCCACTGAGGGCTGACTGCGGTCACACATTCCTGCACAGATAAACCAGTGAAGAAGGAGCGAGCAGTGAGACAGACCGTGCAGGCCCCAGTGACAGGAAGCGGCAGAGAGAACCGCCACTGTCCCTTTCTGACCCCGCCCCCACATACAGCATCACAAACCAACAATCTGGGTGGCCCCGCCCTGGTGAACACCTAAGGCTCCGCTCCTCATACATAACAGGCACGAACAGATAAAAACATGGCTCAAGAACAACTCAGAGCCCCAGAGCTGATAAATCTAAGCAATGAAGAAATAGCCAAACTTTCAGATGCACAGTTCAAAACACTGGTGATCAGGATGCTCACAGAACTGGTTGATTTTAGTCACAAATTAGAGGAACATATGAAGGCTAAACTAATTGAAACAAAGGGAAATGCACAGGAAACCAATAGTAATGAAAAGGAAACTGGGACTCAAATCAAAGGAGTGGACCAGAAGGAAGAAAAAAACCAAACAGAAAAGGATGAAGAAACAAGAATTCAAAAAAAGGAGAAGAGGCTTAGGAACCTCCAGGACATCTTTAGACATTCCAACATCTGAATCATAAGGGTGCCAGAAGGGGAAGAGAAAGAGCAAGTGGAAAACTTATTTGAACAAATAATAAAGGAGAACTTCCCCAATCTGGCAAAGGAAATAGACTTCCAGGAAATCCAGGAAGCTCAGAGAGTCCCAAAGAAGTTGGACCCAAGAAGGAACACACCAAGGCACACCATAATTACATTAGTCAAAATTAAAATGAAGGAGAGAATCCTAGAAGCAGCAAGAGATAAGGGGACAGTCACCTACAAAGGAGTTCCCATCAGACTGTCAGCAGATTTCTTAAGAGACCTTACAGGCAAGAAGGGGCTAGAAAGAAGTATTCCAAGTCATGAAATCCAAAGACCTACAACCAAGATTGCTCTATCCAGCAAGGCTTTCATTTAGAATGGAAGGACAGATAAGGTGCTTCTCAGATAAGATCAAATTCAAGGAGTTCATCATCACCAAGCCCTTATTACATGAAATGTTAAAGGGATTTATCTAGGAAAAAGATAAAAAAGATGAACAGTGAAAGGAAAGCCAACCCACAGTTATTAACAACCACACCTAAAACAAAAGCAAACTAAGAGGACAGCTAGGTCAGGAGTGGAACCATAGAAATGAAGATCACATGGAGGGTTAGCCTCAGGGGAGTGGGAGAAGGGGGGAGAAGGTACAGAAAGTAAGTAGCATAGATGGTAGGTAGAAAATAGACAGGAGGAGGGCAAGAATAGTAGGGGAAATATAGAATCTAAAGAACTTGAGACATGTGGTCATAAACTAAAGGGGGTAATGGTGAGGTAGGGGTGTGCAGAATGGAGGGGAATGAAGGGGGGAAATAGAACAAATGTAATGGCATAATCAATAAAATAAAAAAAATAATTCCTACTTTGGATGGGGGTTAGAGTTGTTGGCTTTGTGATAACTCACTAAGCTGTATAATAAAAATATTTACTTACAATAAATAATCAAATAGTCACAAATGTTAGGAAAAGTGCCAGTTTATTATATAAAGATGACTCCTACTCAAAATTGAAGCCAAAACCCTGAGATTCTGTTGGATTCATTTCACTTTTCTGACAAGAAAAAGTTGCATTAGCAATAAACTAAGGGACACAGCTAATATATAAACTCAGTGTTAATAGTAATCCCCCTAGCCGGGTTCACCATAGCGACTGTCTTAGCCTGTAACAGAACACTGCAGACCAGTGGCTTATGAACAGAAATCCCAGACTGGGTAATTCAAACCTTGGGATTACAGAGAGGCCTAACAAACCAACAACAAGGCCTCAGGTTTATCAACAGATTGGCTTACTCAGCATTTATACGGTAAATGCAATAATCCTGTTCTGCTAAGCTTTTATCTTATAAATCACTCATTCATTTACAAATTCAGGGCCCTGAAAACTAGACTTTTTAAAATTCTCATTGGAGGATATGCTTATTTGATTTTAGAATGGGAAAGGGAGGGAGAAACACTCATGGACGTGGGAGAGAAACATCGATGGGTTGTTCCACACAACTAACTGGGAATGGAACTGCAACCTAGGTATGTGCCAAGACTAGGTATGGAAACTGTGACCTTTCGATTTACTGGACAACACTCCAACAGAGTCACACAAGCCAGCATAAGAGAACTAGAATTTTTACTCACATTATACTAAAGTATAACTCTCCTTTACTTTGTTAATATTATTTCTTAGTTTCATCCACTTTTGAGGCTTTATGTACTTTTGAGGATTTGGAACCAGCAAAATTAAGATTGTATGAATAGGCGAACACTCTTAATTCTAAAGATACTACTCTCCTAGCCAAATATTTTCTGTATGTGAAGCATTGTGTTAAATGCAGGTTATACAAAACAGTAGGAGGTGAGCTCCACCTCTCATCTCAAGGCACATACAATATATTTGGGAAAATTATACCTAAAAATGCTCCTGTCTTTACTGCACTGCAACTAACAATAGAATTAATGGCACTGGACTTCAATGTCATTTATTTATTATTACTATTAATAAATAAATAGTATTTATTTACCGGACAGTACTTTTCAACATCAAGTGCATACACGACCAATCATCTCTATATCCTCAGGACCCAACACAGTCCCTTGCACACAGTAGCTCATTAAAAAGTTTGCTCAATGACTGAACAAAAAAACTCACATAGGGTAGCACATGACGAATAGGAAATTAATAGACGATGAAAAGAATCCAAAATAAAGGTATGACTACCATGTGGGGCCTTTGGTCACCCCTCCCCTTCATTCTAGCTTCCAGCTCACAATTCATTCCCTCATTTAATAACGGGATATACACTAAGAACTAACTGCACACTGGGCACTGGATTAAGTACCAAGATTAACAAAATCATATTCCCTGTATTCAAGTTGCCACACTCTAGCAGACCAACATTTAAGGAAGCCGATGCTTTACACGCCGAAACAGAGGCTAGAGGAGAACGCAACTCACTACTGTGGAGGTCATAGTCAAAACAGGCAGAAAAAGGTGGACTCAGAAAGGGGAAGGGTGAACACCAGGCGGTGAGAGGAAGGTCGCTAGTTATGGCTGTTAGCAGTTATCTAATGATGCCAGGGGTACAAGGGTGGCAGTGGTCAGGTTCTAAAGACCTTTGAATGCATCCTTTAGGGTTGAGATACTGGGCTAATCGACGATTAAATGTTTTTATTTTTAAGTTACAGTCGATAATCCCGATGATTTCACACCAGAAAACTGACTATGGCTTTGGCAAAAACTGAATCGAAGGTGTGGACATGGCCTCTGAGATGCAGGCTAATTTCAAAGTCACCCTTTTCAAGCAGCTCGGCCCCAACCAGGTGTGTCAACACCGAGTGCCCTGTACACCCGTCACCAACCTTCACACCCAGCCCCCACAGACGGTCCCGGCTCCGCAACCCTCACAACTTCCCGAGACTCCCCCTCCGCTGCCCGCGGGCCCGGCCGGCTCACGCACCCCTTCGGTCTTCATGTCCAGGATTCTCTCCACCTCGAACACATCCTCCCCGTCCTCCTCGCTGTCCCCCAAGGCCTCCGCTCCTTTCGTGCCCGAGTCCCTCTCATCGCCCACGGCTCCCTTGCCTTCGCCTACACGCGGCTCGCTGTAGGAGCCCGACACGGGAACGGCAGCAACGCTCCCCCCCTCTGCAACCGTTGCCGCCATTGCAGGAGAGCCGCAAGCCGCAGCGGCCGAGGTAGTCGCGAGGCACGCCCAGAGCTCGCACCGTTCAGCCCTCGTCCGCTAGCTCCTTGTGACGCCACTAGAGAGGAATTAGCAATGGCGGACCCGGAGTCCAGAGCCATTCGCTCACCAACCAATCGCGATGAGGCGGGCGCGCCATAATCTACAGGAAGTGGGGGGGCGGGCCGCTGGGCGCTAAGCGGAAGAGGAGCAGATAGAGTGCTTTAAAACCGGGTGGGGAGGAGCCGGGCAGAATCGTGGGGGGTTCGTCGCAGCGGAAGGGCAAGCAGGAGTCGGGCCGCAGGTTTACCTGGGCCCGGGGAGGGATCGAGGGGTCGGGCTTCCAGGAAGAGCACCGGCGCTGGAGAGGATTGGCTGTACTCTGGCCCTCACCCTCTATAGTCTGATCCGTAGCTTTCTAGGAAAAGCGCGGGCAACTCCGGAGACTCCAGGGACTGGAGCCTAACACCCAGGAATTCACACGTGAGATTGAGGCGCGGCTGACGCGTGTCAACAACTGAGAGAGCTGTACACTCTAGTGAGTATCGTCTAAAGATAAGGACAGTTTTTTTTATTATTAGTCTGTAAATCTGGTTTTCCAGGTAAAATCTGGGTGTTTTTTTCTGTTGAAAATACATGACGGGGGTGTGGTGGGGTGGGGTGAAAAAGGTGAAGGGATTAAGTACAAATTGGCAGTAACAAAATACGGGATGTAAGGTAAAGCATAGGCAATGTAATCAATAATATCAGAATTAGGTACATGGCAGGTGTTAGGTCGGAGTCGCTCAAGAAACCAGACAGATGTAGCGAGCTAAGGAGCAGGATTTATTAGCGGGGAATAAGAGGGAAAGTGGAGCCAACCAAGGGAGGTTAGGACGCGCTTAGGGCAGGGTTTTAACCGCAAAAACCCACGAGGGGTACTGATTGGGTTGTCAGAGTCTGATTGGCTAGAGCTGGTTGCTGGGTGCCATTTCTGTTGACCATTGTTCTTGATACATGTTGTCAGGCTCAAGTTAAAGCTGCGTGCGTCCTGTTATGCCGCATAGGCCGACCTCGGACCCCAATCGTAGCCAGGCATCTGTCTCTCCTGGGTAGGGTCGGCAGGCGTTTTCCCAGGGTACAGTTAACCACAGTACAGTTTTCCCGCCTGATTTTCCATTCCTGCTAGGCCTACCTAGGTCTGTCAGAAGGTGGGTACTAGATGTATTCGGGGACCACTTTGTAAAGTATGTGATCCTCTCTCTGATCACACTAAACTGTACATCTGAAACTAATACAAAATAGTATTGAATGTAAACTGTAATTGAAAAATAAAAAACTATCAGAGGATGTGTTAAAATTATCTTCTCCAGATTGTGAATGATAAACAATGTAGTAACCCAAAGTTGCTAGGAAAAGTCCACTTAAGTGTAAATGTTTTTCTCACTTGGAACTGCAAATAAAGTCTTTATGACAGCAAGCATTTTATTTTTGTTTCTTCCAACGGTTTGCTTAATCTACAAGATTAACTTTTTAAATTTAACTATGAGGTTAACTAAAGAATACTCCATGAGCAACACATCTTTGAGGTGGTGCAGCTAAAAACAATCAGCTTTGAGTTGGTGCATTATTTTGTCATTTGCTGAGCTTACAAAATGGACAGTACTAGGCATTAGGAATATAATGAGCAGAGTCTGCCTTCCAAGGATTCAGTCTATAAAAGGAAGATACAACAATTGTAATAATTAGATACATTTTGTAAAATAAGTTTTTAAAAATATAACCAAATACCATTAGTTGATGGGGAAAAGCTCATTATTTTCGAAGGATTCCAGCTAATAAGTTTAGAAAAGAGAATCACAATATTTCATGAAAATGATTCAGGTGACAAAACTGTTAGGTGAAAGCTGGGTTAGGAACTGGATGCCAAAGTATTTCTCCACAGATTTTGGGAAAACACACCATCACTGGAAACCCATTTATCAATGTGAGCATTGTTAATAGTAGAACAACATCCAGACTCCGTGGCTTCTGTGGACAAAAATATTGATCCTTAATCTACTTAGGACTTTAGACTTAATTTCCAGTCAGATAAGAAACACGAGGAAAGAGAAAAGGAAACAAATGGACAAGTCCAGAACTTGGGACATACTATAGGGCATACAACTGACCCTGTTTCTTCAACAAGTCAACAGCAGAAAAAGAAAGAGAAGAATGTTCTAAATTCATAAAAATGTGGCAAAATATTTTAAATCTTGAAATAAAAAATTTAAGTAATTGTACAAATTTCTCAACTAACCCAAAATATATAAAATAGAAATAAAGTGTCTACTCAAAGGTAACCACTTTGGAATATGACATGATAGATTTTTATGTAATACAAATACCCAATTATATAATTTTAAAATGAGTTTTAGTGTACGGTACGTCTTTCTGTGTGTGTGTCCATATTTCTTTAAGGTGAATTTCTGGAAGTAGAATTCCTTTCAGTGAAATTTATAGGTCAAAAGAGGGTAGTGATTTAAATTTTGATAAATACTTGAATTGCAAAATTTTGTTTTAGTATAATGTTTCCAGTAAGGAAGTATCTGTACTCACCTATTCTGTTACTGGGTCTTATCAATCTTTTAAATCCCTTAATCTAATAAACCATGAAAACATTGTTTATCTTCTGTGATTATGGCAAGTAGGCAAGGCCAAAGCCAAGGCCAAGACCGGACTGATTCTGTCAGTAAAGATAAACAAGCTACTGTAGATTTGGATGATTTATTACTTATATAAACAACAAGTGGAAGAATAGTAAAAGATACCATCTCCCCTTGTCCCATACTCCCAAAGGAGCTAGATAATTGGGACATGAGTTGTGGAACACATTGTTGAGGAACTGATTCTAGCTAGGTTTTGTTTTTTTTTTAGTCTGCAGTTGTATTCTAAGCTTCATACCTATCAGAACTAGGAGGTGACAAGAAACCATCTCATAATAGCCTTCCAGGGAGACACAAAGGCAGGTGGGAGAAGGCCCCATGGCAATTCCTCACAAGCCTCTTGTTTTGGGGTACCAACAGGATCACAAGCTGCAGTTCAAGCCCAGGGAGTAAGGATGGGTTGGTCACACATCAGGATGTTGGAAGTCAATGAAGATGAAGGCAGGACTAACAGCAGGAAGGGAAATCCTGAACCATGTGAATGAGGGGCAGTGCTGGACAGTTGGTGAATGGCAGCAATGGTAGGTAGGAAGATAGCCAGACTGTATCCTTAAGAAACTGGAATTTTATGTAAAGGTAGACGTTAATGGCCTAGGAGGGGTAGTGTGCAGGAAAGTGGACCTTACACTTCTCACAAAAAGTAAATGAAAATGGATCATAGACCTAAATGTAAAATCACAACCATAAAACTTCCAGAACATAGGTGAAAATTTAGATGACCTTGGTTTGGTGATAAGATTTGAGATTCCAACACCAAAAGCAAGAGCCATGAAAGCATTGCTCAGGACATACAGTTTGTCTAAGAAATAGGAGTATTGAGGATCCACAGTCAAGGTCTGGATATCCAGGACCCTGGAAATGGGAATGTGGACATCAGCCAAAGATCCTTGTTTCTTCCCAGCTTGCTCAGTCCAGACTCCTCAAAGGGGACAAGCAACAAGCTTCAAGGACTATCCAAATGTGTCTTACCACCTTAAAACATGTAAATACAAGAAATCTGTACTACTGTAATTTTTACTTTATTAACGCTTGTTCATTAAATCAATTCTGCTTCCATTTATTTTGAAGTGACATTGCTATATTTGATAAAACCATAATTAAATTTCATTATAGGTATCTATTAATATTTATTTTATAGGTAGAAGCATGAAAAAGTTTAAAACACAGCTTCATCTGTTTTAGCCTTGACCATAATTAAGAACTCTGTGAAGAGGAGAGGTGGTATTCATGGGTTGGATTCCCAATAGTTGTTTAGTGGCACAGTCCCAGTCTTTACCCAATTCAAGCCTTTGGCAGATAGATGGATATTGTCCTTCTGTTCTTCTTACCCATTCGCTTGCTTTCTTTATTTTCTCAAAAGCCCAGGGAATATTCCTAGATTTGAAAAAAGCAATGTTTCCATCAATTTTAGAATATAATTACATATAAAATGTAATGTGGTACCAAATCAAGCATGTTAACTCAGACAAAATGATTCTGTCAAAAATGAAGATATTTAATAAAAGCAGTTCTCTGACAGGTTATTAAAATTCTTCTACCAGTCTGACATACTTTTAACTTATTAAATGCATTTTTAAGCATATTACACCCATCACTTCCACTGTGTATCACAGACTTTCCAGCTACCTCTGGGACAGTTCAAGCATCTTCTAGCCTTCATATATCTGTTCATTGTTATTCTTTTTCATTTTACATCTGAATCCTACCCATTCTTCATGTACAACCTCAATCCTATTTTACAAACTAGGCTTCCAGTTCTCTCTCCTTTTCATTGTACCAGGAAGTCTCAATTTGACTAGTTATTTGCAAAGTACCTGATAATCACCTATGAAATTGTCATATATTTAACTCTGTCACATAAATTTACTAGTAAAATGTGCATATCAAAAACTTCAAGTTTGTGTCTATCAAATGCTATCAAATATTCTAGACTCAAATATTCAAGTCTATTCAAAACTCAGAAAAATTCTGAAAATTTTAAATTAATTTTTAATTATGGTAACAATATGTGATCTTGTGGGTTGTTGGGGGGATTAACAGAACACATGTTTAACAGCCCCTGGCACAGAGTAGGCAGTGAATATCATGATGACATGGACACACCAAATAGCAACAGGCCAAAGTGGTTAAATGATTTGTTTCTCAATAATTAGTCTACTTATAGTTACTAGCAACTGAAAACAACAAAACATTTTAAATATTCTCACTAATTCAACTGGCTTTCCTTTAATTCAGGTGGCCTTGAGACTGCTGACTAATCCACTAGTGTGAAAATTTTTTTAATATGCCACCATGCAACATGCTACTGCATTCATATTATATACATCATAGAGTAGGAAAAATAGAAAAGTTTTAAATAGGCAATAAACAGGAAATCAAGTTATTTAAACATTTTATTTATTAAAGTGCCAACAAACCATTTAGCTTTCACAGTGACAATATAGTGAGAGCCATATTTTCTTAAAATCTTGCTTTAATACTTCGATTTGCAATTCAAAAGTAAGTTCAAAGTTATTAATACTTGTTCTAGAAGCTACCATATTGGTGAAGGTCAAAACAGAAGTGTCTCTTTGTGAGACAGTAAAATTAGGTCTAATTTATTTTAATTTCATCTGTAAATACGTATCTCTAAGGGATAAGAACTTTTTCTTAAACATGACACTTAAAAACAGTTATAAATAATTCCCTAATATAACAAAATAGCCAAGTAATATTTAAACTTCCCTAATTGTGTTTTTAAAAATACAATGGATTTTGTTCAAATCTGGATCCAAACAAGGTGTACACATTGCCTTCTGTTCATAGTTTCAATTCTCCCCTCTTTTTTGTCTTGCTGTTTATCTCCTCACATCCTAGGGAACTGCTAATTATATTCCCATGTAAAATTTAATATGTATAACCTCTATTCTCTGATATTTGTTTGATCTTTATTATGAAAAATATTTACACAGCTTCTAAGTCAAAATCATAAAACAGGGTGTATTAGGAGAAACCTAGTTTTCATCCTTGTCTCTTCCTCCTCTAGATAATACATTTATTAGTTTAGCTTTATTAGTTTTCCTTTTGTCTTGCCTTTTAAAAAAACATGCAAATTACATTCATGTGTATATGTATACACAAGGGTGGTCATTTGCATGGGGTATGGATGGAGTTTTGATGGTTAAGGGGTATTCATAGGTGCACTTAAGGCCTGTTGTGTGGTAAAGTACCAGGGGTTAGCCAAAGGCTAGCAGCCAAGGCCTGAGAACCAGTTCTTTCCACACTGCAACATTTTGGCATAAAACTTAAAGTGATCCTAGAATCCTAAATTTGAACCTGATCTTCTAGGTGGTAATAAAGTTGGATTTATCAAGGTAAAACTTTAGAACATATTTTAATTTAACTTACAACTTAAATACACAGACATATAGCATGTGGATTTGCATTTGTATTCTTGGCCCACACCCTGCAATTGTTGGGATCAGGCCTAGTTCCAACAATCAGATTATGGACTTTTCAAAAGCACATAGAATTAGTACACTATAGTGAAAAGAAGTCTAAGCCAGAAGTCAAAGATCCAGGCTCCATTGTAAGCTACACTTAAACTCTGAGTTCCGGTTTCCTGTGCAGCCAGAGGCAAAAGTTCTGTGTCTGCCCTGCCAATAGAAGAGTGTGAGCAAAAAACATATCCTGTGAAGAAGTTCTTTTTGTACTTAAAATTCTGTGTGGCTTCTTATTAGGTTTAAGAAATGATTGAAAACATAAGTCAGTTGCTTAGTACTAGAGTTAAATGGAAAAATTTAGTTAAATATTAAATGATATTAAAAAAATATATATATAAATGGAAAACATCACAAAAAACCTGGAAATGGAGGCATCGTCCAATTTCATTAGGGATTTGAAGACTATTCCCATTTGTTCCAACCTGGTGCGAAGAAACTGCAGTACAAGAAGAGTGGCAATCAGGTCCAGAAGATGTTCTCTTCCTTTGATGCCTAAAAGTAGAAAACTCTTTTATGTCTGCTGGACACTCTGCACCTCAACTATGCCCATTTATAAAAGTTTTATGAAAGAATTTATACTGTGAAACTAAACCACATTAGCAGATCATAAAACTATTACTTTTCAAGGTTCTTAATTAGTCTGCTATTTAAATAAAAAATGAGGAGGATGGGAACATATGCCTGTCATATTATCCTGAAGGCTGTCAGGAGACAATTAGATCCAGACTTCCACCCCCTTGCCATCTTTAATAACCAAAGAAGTCTGAACTATGCAGAGAAAATTTCAGCTTCTAGGCTCTGGCTACAAATAGCTCAGAGGAGAAAACCTAAATATACAATAGACAATGAATATGGTTGATTAGACCAGTGTATCAGATTATTTCAATCTCTGGACCTATACTTTGATCTTTCTAAATACGGTGAGATATGCACCCCCAGACAAACCAAGTACTTCTTCCTTGTTTCCTGCTTGACTCTTTATAAAAGCTTTCAGCCCTTTCCCCTTATTTTGTAGTTCACTGGACTCAAGAGGGGAGGCAGCCCCTTTCATGAAGTATGAAATATAAGTTTTTAGATCAATTAAATTGTTCTTTTGATTATTGTAATCATTATTATTTATCCAAATCAAGACATTTTACTTACTATATTATGAAATGACAAAATTGCAAATGAAAGTTAACATATATTGGACGCAGAAATTTAAAACTCTTTATTTTTCAAAAATGTAAGTCATGTATTTGAAATCACTTTATACAATAAGCTAGATTTCAAATATTGTTATTTTTCCAATCTCACATTTTATGAAACTAGACTGTCCACAGCTACCTTGAGGGGGTTCAGAACATGCCATCACAGAATGTGCCACTTTGGCATGTGGATAATTTTGAACTGAAGGTAATCAAGACTCAGCAGACTCAGTAAAAACTTTTCACTTCCCCCCATAACTACCAGAGGTAATGTTTTCATCTGGGGACTTATCTGCATGTCAGGGAAAACATCTGTTTCCAGACATTGCTTTCTCTCACCTGGGTGAATTGCCTCCCCCACTTTGAAGCCCCAGACCACTATCCCTTTTCTTAGTTCAGTTGCCTGGCTGCCTTTTGACTCATATTTTTGTGGGCACAGGTACACTGGCACAGGTACATGTGTGTGTACATAATTAAAATAGTTTTTTTCTCTTGTTATAATCTATCTTTTATTAAGGGGGTAGAGGTGGTGGTCTCAGCCAAAAACCTAGAGAGGGTTACAGGGAAAGTTTTCCTCTTCCACAATCTTCATCATCATTAAAGCACAGTGAGTCATCTGATAATTTCCCAGGTAAATTATTTCCATCTAAGATATTTGATATGTAGTTGCATTATTTGCACTCCTACAACAGAGCCACTGAATGTTTTTTGATTATGAAATATTTTAAACATACAGAAAAGTAAAGAGAAAAATATAGGGGTGGACAAAAGCAGGTTTATAGTTCATATGGGAAATAATACAATAATTAATAAATAATGATACAAGAATAAACTGTTTTGCAACCACCCTTGTGTAAAATATCCCTATCATTGCAGGGCAGGTCAGCTTTTAACAGTTTCCTATATCTGCTTCAAATATCTCCCTTTTCTTTAAAAGAAACAAGATACTACAAAGTTGAAGCCCTCCCCACTTGTCCTTCAACCCATCCCCCAGCTCTTCAAAGGTAAACACTATCCTGATTTGGGACTGGACATTGCTTTTGAAAGCGATCTTCAACAGGCTCTTTAAACGGTATTCAGTGTCTGCAACTTTCAATTCATTTTTCCAAGAAAAACTTAATAAACTGTTAAATTCCTTTTACTTCCCTTTTTAGGATTTCTGTCAGATACCTTCCCTAACTATCCAAAATCAACACTATTACAGCCATTTGGGGCTGGGTGCTCTCCCAATTGCCACTGTGTTATTGAAAATAAAATACAGTAACTGAGAAAACACTTTATAATACAAAATATCTGTGAAGACTCAAATATGTCTCATTTTCTGGGTGACTGGTTTTCACAAAACCGTGTCTTGTAATTATAAATATACAGTTTGGGGGGAAAAGACAAAAGGATCTATGCATAGTATGTACATAGCTGCACATACAACATTTATTTTAAATTGTTCAAAGAGCTGAAAATACCAAAATGATATATTTTTTTAACACAGGAAATGGGAATTGAAAACACTTTTTTGGTTTAAATTTTATTTATTTTTAGAAAGAGGGGAAGTGAAGGACTTCAATGTGTGGTTGCCTCTCAATCATCCCCTACTGGGGAACTGGTCTGCAACCCAGGCATGCGCCCTGACGGAATCAAACCAGCGACCCTTTGGTTTACAGGCCACACTGAACCCACTGAGCCATGCCACCAGGGTGGGATTAAAGACATTTTAAAAAACAATACAACAAACCCAATCCATTATCCCACAAAAGAAAATCAGTGAAGACAAAAGAAAAAATGGAGACAGTTTAATTTAGGTTTCTTTTGGAGGTTGCTTTTTAGTATTACATATAAAATTGTAGACTAATTTTTAAGTGATATTAATAATAAGCAACACATAAATCATAAATATATAATTCAAGATTATCATAAATGATAAAATATCAAAATGATATATCAGAGCCATATAAAAAAATAAATTCAGAAGGGGAAGGAAAAAAAATAAGGAAAAGGATAAAAGAGAATGGAAGCTGTGTACAGAAGTATAAAAATAAGTTAGAGGAAAATATCAACATCTTGAGACTACATTGCAGGAAAAAAGGCAGAAAAGCCCACACATGCAGAGGAATAACAGATAATCTGGAAATATACAGAGCTGCACAGGAACGCTCATGTGAAAGGTATATACATACAGAAATTTCACCTCTCTAGCTTTCCTCTTATTGCTCTGCCATTCCTTCTCAGCCTGTTGTGTTTCCTGTTCTATCTGATCACTAAACTGTGGTGTGCCCATGGATGGCATGATGACCTCTTGTCTGTCCTAAGTTACCTTTTTCTGTAGGTAGTCTCTATACAAGCACATGGTCCATGGCTTCAAATAGTATTCTGACCTCTTCCTGAGCTCTAGCCTCATATCATAACTATATATTTGTTTCCATTATCTATTAGACATCTCAAAATTTAAATATCCCAAACTTAACTTTATTAGCATTTTTCCAGGCTCAGTCTCCAGTTAATGATTTGCCTTTCTCACACTCAACCCTCCTTCCCCTCCACTGCCCACATCAAATCACCAAAACTTGATGATCCTAAAAAATTTATTTCAAATCTTCCCAAGTACACATTGAAGGTTTAAAAATTAAACATTTAGTAGATACAACTGAAAATAATATATATGTAGGGGTGTAAATAATATAACAAATACTTAAATATAAAATACTAAAATACTGAAGTATAAAAAATCAGTATTTTTAATTGTAGTAAAATATGCAAAACATAAAAGTCATCATTTTAACCATTTTTAAGTGTATAATTTAGCACTAATACTAATGTGCTGTCATCAACACCATCTATCTCTAGAACTGTTTTATCTTCTAAAACTAAAAACTCTGTACCCATTAACCAATAACCCTCCCCAACAAACTCCCTACTCCCCATATCCCATGGCAGCCACCATTGTATTCTCTGTCTCTGTGCATTTGACTATTCTTTGTACATCATATAAGTGGAATCTTACAGTTATTTGTCTTTTTGTTGCTGGATTATTTCATTTAGTGTAATGTATTTGAGGTTCATTCATATCGTAGCAAGTGTCAGAATTTCCTTCGTTTTTAAGGCTGAATAATATTCTACTGTATGTATATACTTTGATTATCTGTGTTGCAAATATTTTATCCCAGTTTGTGGCATGTCTCACATTTTAAATATTATTTACTTTTAATGAAAAAGACATTCTGATATTAATGCAGTTGACTATTAGTCTTTTCCTTTATGGCTTGTGCTATATATATATATATATTTTTTTTTCTTTTTTTTGCTTTAAGAAACTCTTCTGGACTTCCGCCAAGATGGAGGTATAGGTGGATGTGCCGTGCCTTCTCACACAACCAAGTTTAGGGACAACTAAATATTAGCAACAGAAATCACAGCCAGAACACGGAAAATTGAACTTTTCAGAAGTCCGTTAACAACAAATTCTTCAGCCTGACTGGTAAGGGGCGAAACCAGTGGCTGGTGGAGCGGGGTTGCACAGGAGGACTCGGTCAGACTGGCTCAGGCGCGGAATCCAGACTCGCGGAATCCAGGCGCAGGGTTGGACCTAGTGAGCGACCGAGCAAGTGACCAGGCGAGCGACCGGGAGGAGACAGCGGGGAAGCGGTGCTGCGTGTTGACTGTGGTCGTGCATTTGTGCACGGGCAGTCAGGCGAGGGAGTGGGCAGTTGGACTGGGCCCGGTGGGTCCCCGCGGCAAGTGGCAGTGAAGGGCGCCGCCATTTCCCCGCTCTGACCACGCCCCCACATACAGCGTCACAACCCAGCGACCTGGGAGTCCAAGGCACCGCTTCTCACACTTAAAGGGCCAGAACAGACCAAAAATGTCGCAAGATCTCAAAGCCCCAGAGCCCATAGATCTAAGTGATGAAGAAATAGCAAAACTCTCAGACGCACAGTTTAAAACACTGGTCATCAGGATCCTCACAGAACTGGTTGATTATAGCCACAAATTAGAGAAACATATGAAGGCGAAACTAATTGAAATGAACGGAATTGCACAGGAAACCAATAGCGATGAAAATGAAACTGGGACTCAAATCAATGGAGTGGACCAGAAGAAAGCAAATAATGGCCAAACAGAAAAGAGTCAGGAAGCAAGAATTCAAAGAAATGAGGAGAGTCTTAGGAACCTCCAGGACATCTTTAAACGCTCCAACATCCGGATTATAGGGGTACCAGAAGGGGGAAAGGCACAACCACCAGTGGAAAAATTATTTGAACAAATAATAAAGGAAAATTTCCCCAATCTGGCAAAGGCAATAGACATCCAGGAAATCCAGGAAGCTCAGAGAGTCCCAAAGAAGTTGGACCCAAGAAGGAACACACCAAGGCACGTCATCATTACATTAGCCAAAATTAAAATGAAGGAGAGAATCCTAGAAGCAGCAAGAGCTAAGGGGACAGTCACCTACAAAGGAGTCCCCATCAGACTGTCAGCAGATTTCTCAAAAGAGACTTTACAGGCAAGAAGGGGCTGGAAAGAGGTATTCCAAGTCATGAAATCCAAAGACCTACAACCAAGATTGCTCTATCCAGCAAAACTTTCATTTAGAATGGAAGGACAGATAAGGTGCTTCTCAGATAAGATCAAATTCAAGGAGTTCATCATCACCAAGCCCTTATTATATGAAATGTTAAAGGGACTTATCTAAGAAAAAGAAGTTAAAGAAACATGAACAGTGAAAGGACAACAAACTCACAGTTATTAACAACCACACCTAAAATGAAAGCAAACTAAAAGGACAGCTAGATCAGGAGTAGAAACATAGAAATGAAGATCTCAAGGAGGGTTAGCAACAGGGGAGTGGGAGGAGGAGATGGGGGGAGAAGGTACAGAAAATAAGTAGCATAGACAGTAGATAGAAAATAGATGGGGGGGGGCAAGAATAGCATGGGAAATATAGAATCTAAAGGACTTGAGACACATGGTCATAAACTAAAGGGGGGTAATGGTGGGGATGGGGGGTAGGGTGGAGGGGAATGAAGGGGGGAATAGAACAACTGTAACAGCATAATCAATTAAAAAAACTCTTCTTTGATAAATCAAGTGTTTCTAAATGTTAACATCTGGGAAATTTGGGCAAAGGATATATGGGAGTTCTTTGTACCATATTTGCAACTTTTTGTTAATATTCAAATTATTTCAAAATAAAAAGTTTTTTAAATGTTCCCTATCTTAAAATCATAAAAATACTTTCCTACATTTTTTCTAAATGTTTATGGTTTGCCTTTCACACTTAAGTCTTCAGTCTATTTGGAACTGATTTTTTGAGTATGGTGTGAGGTAAAGGGTCAAACTGCACCTTCTCTCTATTATTGTCTGATGGTCCTAGCACCAGACAGTTATTAAAAAGTATATCTGTTGTATAGTGCTTGGTCATTAGAGGTCCTTTTATGGCCCTTTTCAGGTTTTAATGGACAGGCTGAGATATTTATCAAGTCTCTCTGTTTTGCTGTCATTTGAAAACCAAACTTATCTCTCCAACACTTGGCAGTGTCTGAAATTTCTGCTCAGCTTTTGCTTTTTCTTGGACAGCCAAGGATGTGAGGGAATTTATAGGCAGATTTCAGAGCTCCCCCTTCCTCAAATTTTCCCCCTTAATTTCCAGGCACTCTGGCAGCCCTGACCTTTATGCTGAGAATTTCATCATTACGCTGAGAATTTGTTTCAGTTCTAACCCCCATGTGGCTCAGGAACAGAAAAAGCTGGATAAACATGGCATATGCCTGGTTTGCCTCCTTCTTTCAAGGACTGTGTCCCACCTTCCTTCCTCCAGTTCTGCCTGTTTTTTAAAAAAAATTGCATTCTAGGCCTTCAGCAAGAGGCTTTCAAATAGATGTCCAAGGCTGGTAAATGTTACTGGCAAAAGTGTTAGACACAAGCTCTTCTATTATTCCAGAAACTAGAAGTCTCTCACGTGTAAATTTTAATTATTCCTTTTTAGTGTAGTGCAAGTCGAACAGGTGAAGAGTCTGCCAACCCTGGAACAGATATGAAATATGAAGACTCTGGCATTTTACAGGTGATAGCAGGGGAATTAGACACTGCTGTTCAATGAATATTTGCTAGTTGTTTAATAATGTTTTCTTTTTTTTTAAATTAAAAAACCCTCAACCCAGGGCTAGTGTTTGGCCTTCAAACTTCTTGCTGGTTTGAGGATGTCCAGGATCTCCTCATCCACCTGATTCATTATTATAAAAAGGAACATGTCGGGCTCTGGAAGAGACTGACTGACTGCTCATCAAAGCTGTCTTCTCCTTCAGGGCACTAAGCTCTGTATCTGGCTAGGTCTCTGTGACTAGTTCCTGCCACATTTTTTTCTCTCTCCCTCTTGTCTTTCTAGTAAATAATGCCAGAGTCATCTCTTTTCTTTCACCAGAGTCATTTTACAACACACGTGTTGATGATGGTGGAGTCACAACATGGAAACAGCCTGGGTCTCTAAATGACTATGTGGAGTGGAACTTCCCTGCTGACTGATATTTGACTGTGACATGGTCAAGAAAGTAATCTTTATGTCCTGACTGGTGTAGCTCAGTGGATTGAGCACAGGCCTGCGAACGAGAGGATCGCGGTTCGATTCCCAGTCAGGGCACATGCCTGGGTTGGAGGCCGATTTCCCTGCAGGCCAGTTCCCAGCAGGGAACACATGAAAGTCAACCATACATTGATGTTTCTCTCCTTCCTCTCTAAAGATAAATAAATAGAATCTTAAAAAAATAAATAAAGATTATTTGTTTAAAAAAAAAGAAAGTAATCTTTGTGCCAAGTGACTTAAGATTTGGATTTTTAAAAATAGCCGTTATTGTTACTTATGCTAATAAATTTGCACAGGTAATACTATTATTATTGGTAAAGATATGACTAGAAACTAGTCCCCAATTTCCTTTGTTGATTAATAAATAAAATTCTATTCACTGTAACTTACAAGGGGGACCCCCTAAAAAACAGAATTATCACTGGAGTGTGAGCCCCTTTATAGTACAGGCTTCCCCAATTGGTAAGTATTCTAGGAACCCATCTGTATCAGTGTACCAGCTGATGTTGTGAGAGGCTGCATTTGGCTTCAGTGAATTTTTTTTGAAAATTTGACTCTTACAATGCGTTTGCCCATTTCATGATGGGTGACTTACAAGCACATCTGCCCACACTGCACTGAGTGTTCAGCAGTTTTTCACCAAAAAATGGCATGACCCCCGTACTCTAGTCACCCTATTCACCCAATCTCACTCTGAGCAACTTCTTTTTTTTTTTCCCCAGATGAAAAAAGTCCTCAGAGGGAAATGTTTTTCCAATATGTAAGAGGTAAAACAAAAAACAGTGGAAGCACTAAATGACATAAAAACAAGTTCAAAAACTGAGCAGTGGAAAAAAAGCCCAACAGGTGTACTGTATCAAACTGAGAGTACTTTGAAGGTAACTGAAGTTGAAACATATAAGGATACACATTTTTTAATAAATAAATTCTGGTTTTGGGGGAGTCCCCTTGTATGTTATTATATTAATGCACTCACAAAAAATTATAACAATTAGAGCATGTAATTTAATAAATAGAAAAACAATAACTTACCTAGAGACCGAATGCCTTTTTGTTCAAGAAAACTGTTTAAAATAGTTGTATTAAGATTTAATATAAATCCCAGTGCTGGTGTAAGTTTCCAGAAGCCATCCTATGAATTTCAGAAAACAAATTTAAGCCACATTCTTGAAATCTCATCACATAAGAAGTTATGGAATAAATATATTTCCAATTATTTCAATTCATCTTAAGGTATTTCAATGCAGTCTAAAATTTTTATTACTGTAAAATCAAAGTATTGTTGGTAATCTCATAGATGCTATAAACACTTAGTATCTGGTAACATTTATAAAAAGTCTAAAAAAGGCTCACGTGTAAACATTTTTTAAAATGGTATATCTTCTAACAGCTTTGTTTATCAAAACAATGTTCCTCAAACTTTTAAATAACATGATTTCTTTGTTAGACATTTAAAAATGTGTGCTTATATCTGAAATATGAAAATGACTATTTTTACTAAATATAAAATTATGTTCAATATACTTTTTACAACCACTTCCTCATGCTCACTGTCCCCTGTCCAATGCAGCCAAGCGTCTCTGCTTTTCAGGCTGACCTTTGTCATATGCTTATGAGAGTGAGGTAAGCTTCTACATGGGGATCTTAAGCTTAAAGTAGACAGACCCTGGGTCCCAGAGGAACTCATACAGGGAGCAGAAAAGAGTGTGATATCATAGACAGGTTCACATATTAAAGCACAGGTGTCAAACACAAGGCCCGTGGGACGCTCCACCTTGTTTTATCCGGCCCCAGCACCTTGTTTCTACCCGGTGGCAGCACCAAGCTCTTGCTTAATGGTTAAGGAGTAGTTACATTTATACAGTTGTAAAATTACATTTGGCCCTTTGAGGGCAACCGCAAGGCTGATGTGGCCCCCAGTGAAAATGAGTTTGACACCCCTGTATTAAAGGATCTATGTCCATAATTTGAAAATACCTGCAGTGATAATATGTGCCAACCAGTCCCAAACAAGTACCAGGTGGTATTTTATCTTGCTAGCCACTCTTTATAAAGGTATTATTACTATGCCCACTTTACAGATTGAGGACACTGAGGCACAGAAAAATTAAGGCACTTGTCCCAAGTCACACCGCTAACAAGTGGCATAGCCAGGATATAAGCCCCAACAGTCTGGCTCCAGGGTCCAGCAGTGGCTACCCATGCTGCTTTTATGTGCATCTTTCTGGGTAAGGGCAGCCGGGTAGCTGTTAATCTTTAAACCTCAAACCACAATATGAAGTAGACACTATTATCATTTCCCTTATATGGATAAAGAAACTGAGGCTGAGAAAGGTTATCTGACTTGCTCCAAATCACCAAGCAGCAAGGCTGGGACTCAATTTTATACCAAGTAAGTTGCTGTTGCTACTAAACTACTTTACATCAAAACAAATAATTACAGCAAATCCCTTAACTCACTGTGTACTGGTCATACATAATTCAATGACCAGCTACGTTAAATAGTATTCTCAACTGTGAAGAAAATTAACTACAGATGTAGGAGAAATATGACCCATACCTCAGTTTGCAGACGGAAGAGTTCAGACTCAGCCATAAAATTCTTCCAGCTTTTTTTCCAGCCTGTGTCATCCTCCCTATTTACCATCAGAAAGCTGCTTCTTTCTATACAAGATTTTTTTACCTTTTTTGTAAACCTACTTGCCAGAAACCCTGGTGTTTCATCACTTTTTGTTTTAGAAGAACTTAAGTCGGCCAAACACGTATCTGGGAGAGAATCTGATAATGCAGTTCTCACAGAAATATTTGATAAAGAAGCCCCAGATGCTGGAAAAGCCTTAAATGATGGAGACGGCTCATGGAGAATGAAGCCAGTTTGATGTATTGGCTGCTTGTAACTGGTGCTCAGGGGAACTGGGGAATTTGGAAACGGAAGAGAAGAACCAGAAAGAAGCTGAAAGTCAAACCCTCTGGGTGGACCAGGGGGAGGGAGTGTAGGAGGAGAGAACAAAAGATTCTGCTGCAGAGGAAAGTCCAAGTCTAGGGAACTGTCAGCAGCACAGAACTGAGGTTCTTCTGACATTTTAGGTACATAAGACTCACTGCAGCTAAACAGGTGACCTGAGAAAGCAGAACCAGTAAAAGATCCAGAAGGTGGCTCCTTCTGGGGAGGTAGGCTGGGAGGAGAATCCACCTTGAAAGAAATGCCAGTAAAATGGCCTGTTTTAAGGCCATCGTCATTCTTAGCTGGACCAAATGGTTTGGGACTAGCAAGAGTACCAAAAAGAGGGCTCAGAGGAAGTGAGCTGAGAGGACGGCGGGAAGAAGACTCAATAGGGGAAGCAGCTAGGAAACTGGTTGAACATGGGGCAGCAAAAGAGTCAGAAACAACTATTTTTGGTGAAATGACTTTTGTAAATAATGGTTTAGTTCCTGAGTGCTTAAATGAATCTATCTGACTTAAATCCAATGGCATTTCCACATCTCTACATTCCAAATTGAGTGTTAAAGGTTTTTCTGGTAGGTGGGAACTTAAGCTGAACTCTTCAAAACCTTCAAAACCTTCCAGCTTAGATGATTTATGTCTTTTTTTAGTTGAACATTTAAGTTGCAGTTCTTCGTGCCATTCAGAAGATGCTGAAAGAGCCTGCCGAGAAGAAAAAATTATGTCAGTTAGATTGAATAGAACAGAACAGAAAGCCCAGAAGGAAACACATGTCTGTATGGTCAATTAATATTCGATGAAGGGGACAGAAACATAAAAAGGAGTAAAAATGGTATCTTGAACAAATGGTGTTCGGAGATTGGGACAGCTACATGCGAAAAATGAAACTAGACCACCAACTTACACCATACACAAAAATGAACTCAAGATGGGTAAAAGACTTAAATATAAGTCACAACACCATAAAAGTCCAACAGGATAACAGGAGGGAAAATCTGAGGCATTCCACACAGCAACATCTTCACTGATATGTCCCCTGAAGCAAGGCATGTAAAGGAAAGAATAAACAAATGGGACCTCATCAAATTAAAAAGCTTCTGCATGGTTAAAGAAAACAGCATTTCATTAAAATGAAAATAGAACAAACTATATGGGAAAAATATATTTGCCAATGATACCTCAGACAAGGGTTGGATCTCCCAAATATAAAAAGAACTCACATGACTCCACTCCAAGAAGACAAAAAACCCAATGAAAAAATGGGCAAAAGACTTAGACACTTCTCCAAGGAGGACATACAGAAGGCCCAAAGACATAGGTACAGATGCTCTGCATCACTAGCCATCAGAGAGATGCAAATTAAAGCCACAATGGGATACCATGCCACAGTGGTGAGAATGGCCATCATAAACAAATCAGTAAACAAGTGTTGGAGGGATGTGGGGAAAAGGGAACCCTAGTGCACTGTTGGTGGGAATGCAGACTGGAGCAGCCACTGTGGGAAACAATATGGAATTTCCTCAAAACTAAAAATGGATCTGCCTTTTGATCTGGCAATTCCACTGCTGGGATTATACCCTAAGGATACTGAAACACCAATTCAAAAGAACCTATGCACCCCAATGTTCATAGCAGCACAATTTACAAGAGCTGAGTGCTGAAAGCAATCTAAGTGCCCATCAGTGAATGAGTGGATCAAAAAACTGTGGTACATTTACATGATGGAATACTGTGCAGCAGAAAGAAAAAAGGAGCTCCTACCCTTTGCAACAGCATGGGTGGAACTGAAGAGCATTATGCTAAGTGAAATAAGTTCTGTTTTCATTTTAATGCTGTTTTCTTTAACCATGCAGAAGTTTTTTAATTTGATGAGGTTCCATTTGTTTTTTCTTCCCTTTACATGCCTTGCTTTAGGGGACATATCAGTGAAGATGTTGCTGTGTGAAATGCCTCAGATTTTCCTGCCTTTGTTATCCTGCTGGACTTTTATGGTGTTGTGACTTATATTTAAGTCTTTTATGTACCTTGCATTTATGTTTGTCTGTGGTGTAAATTGGTGATCGAGTTTCGGTTTTTTGCATGTAGCTATCCAGATGTCCTAACACCAATTGTTGAAGAGGCTATTTTTCCTCCATTTTGTGTTTCTTTTTGTCAAACATTAATTGACCATACAGACATGTGTTTCCTTTTGGGCTCTGTGTTCTGTTACATTGGTCTATGTGTCTGTTCTTATGCCAGTACCAGGCTGTTTTGATTACAGTGGTCTTGTAATACAGTCTGATATTAGATATTGTGGTCCCTCCTGCTTTGCCCTTCTTTCTCAAAATTGCTGCAGCTATTCAGTGTCATTTATGGTTTCATATAAATTTTTGAAATGTTTGTTCTATATCTGTGAAAAATGTCACTGGTACTTGAATAGGGATTGAATTGAATCTATAAATTGCTTGGGGTAGTATGGATATTTTAATGATGTTAATTCTTCCAATCCATGAGCATGGTACATGCTTCCATTTGTGTGTTAATTTCTTACTTCAGTGTTGTGTAGTTTTCTGAGTATAGGTCTTTTACCTCCTTAGCTAGGTTTATTTCTATGTTTTTTATTTGTCTTGTTGCTATATCAAATGGGATTTTTTCCTAATTTCTGTTCCTGATTTTTGTTTCCAAAACCTTTTTGATTTCTTCCTTAATCTCATTCTTGACCCATCCACTGTTTAAGAGAATGCTATTCAATCTCCATTTCATTGTTGGTGTACAAAAATGCCTTTGAATTCTGAATAATGACTTTGTATTCCACTGTTTTTGCCAAATTCACTAATTAGGTTGAGTAGTTTTTTGGTGGAGTCTATAGGATTTTCTATGTACACTATCATGTCATCTGTAAACAATGACACTTTTGCTTCCTCCTTTCCAATTTGGATGCCTTTTATTTCTTTTTCTTGTCTGATTGCTATGGGTAGGACTTCCAATACTTTGTAGAATAGGAGTAGTAAAAGTGGGTATCCTTGTCTTGTTCCTGATCTAAGTGAGAAGGCTATAAATTTTGTCCATTCAGTATGATGTTGGCTGTAGGTCCCTCTATATGGCCTTTATTATGTTGAGGAATGATCCCTCTATTCTCACTTTGCTGAGTGTTTTTATCATAAATGGATGCTGTACCTTATCAAATACTTTTTGTTCCTCTATTGATTTGCAAATATTGTACCATGCTTTGATCTGTGGCATGAATTCCACTTGATCATAGTGTATGATCTTTTTAACATATTGCTGGATTTTGTTGAGGATTTTAGTGTCTGTGTTTATCAGCGATATTGGCCTGAAGTTTTCCATCTTTGTTATGACTATCTGGTTTTGCAATTAGGATGATGCTGGCTTCATAAAAAGAATCCAGGAGTCTTCCATATTCTTGAAGTTTTTGGAATAATCTGTGAAGGATAGGGGTTAGCTCACACTTAAATGCTGTGTAAACTTCTCTTGTGAAACCATTTGGTCCAGGGCTTCTGTGTGTCAGGAGCTTTTTGATTAATGCCTGGATTTCATCAGCTGTTATTGGTCTGTTCACACTTTCTGCTTCTTCTTCATTCAGTTTTAGAAGATTATATTTTTACAGAAATTTGTCCATTTCACTTAGGTTTTCCAATTTCTTGTCATATAGTCTTATGTCTTCCAATAGTCTATTCATATAGTCTATAGTCTTCCAATTTCTTGTCTTATTTCGGTCCTCTCTCATTTTTCTTGATGAGTCTGCCTAAAGGCATGTCCATTTTGTTTATTTTTTCAAAGAACCAGCTCTTGGATTTATTGATCCTTAGAATTGTACCTTTAGTCTCTATGTCATTTAATTCTGCTCTGATCTGGGTTATTTCCTACCTTCTACTTGCTCTGGGTTGTCTTCGTTGTTTTTCCTTGAGCTCTTGTAGATGTAGGATTATGTTGTTATTTGAAATGTTTCTATATTTTTTTACATAGGCTTGTATCACTATGAACTTCCCTCTCAGGACTGCCTTTAATGTGTCCCATAAGTTCTGGATTGTTGTGAGTTCATTTTCATTTATTTCCAAAACCTTTTTGATTTCTTCCTTAATCTCATTCTTGAACCATCCATTGTTTAACAGAATGCTATTCAATCTCCATCAGTTTGAGTCTTTGGGGTTTTTTCCCTTGCATTTGATTTCTAGCTTCAGTCCCTTGTGGTCAGAGAAAATGCTCGGTATGATTTCAATTTAGTTGAATTTGTTGAGGCTTGTTTTGTGGCCTATCATGCGGTCTACCTTTGTAAATGTTCCTTGTGCATTAAAGAGAATGTGTAATTTGCTTTGGGACGAAGGGCTGTATATATATCGGTTAAGTCCATTTCATCTGGGGCACTGTACAATGCCACAATATCTTTGTTGATATTTTGTGTGGAAGATCTGTTCATTTTTGACAGTGGAGTGTTAAAATCCCCAACTATAATTGTGTTGCTGTCAGTATCTTTCTTGAATTCCTCCAAGATTTTCTGTGTTTGGGTTCTCCTATGTTGGCTGCATATATATTTACAATGTTTATGTCTTCTTGATGGATTCTACCCTTGAGTTATGAAGTGACCTTCTGGGTCTGTTTTTATGGCTATTCTTTTGAAGTCTACTTTTTTCTTATATGGGTATTGCGACCCCAGTTTTCTGATCATGTCCATTTGCTTGGAATATTTGTTTCCAGCCCTTCACTTTCAGTCTGTGTAAGTCTTTTGTTCTGAGGTGGTTCTTTTGTAGGCAGCATATGTGTGGGTCATGATTTCTTATCCATTCAGCTATTCTATGTCTTTTTTAAAAAAATTTTTTTATTGATTATGCCATTACATTTGTTCTATTCCCCCCCTCCGTTCCCCTCCACCCTGCACACCCCTCCCCCACCATTCCCAGCTTTAGTTCATGAACACGTGTCTCAAGTTCTTTAGATTCTGTATTTCCCCTACTATTCATACCCTCCCTCCTATCTATTTTCTATCTACTGTCTATGCTACTTATTTTCTGTACCTTCTCCCCCCTTCTCCTTTTCCCACTCCCCTGTTGCTAATCCTCTATGTGATCTCCATTTCTATGGTTCACTCCTGATCTAGCTGTCCTCTTAATTTGCTTTTGTTTTATGTGTGGTTGTTGATAACTGTAAGTTTCCTGTCCTTTCACTGTTCATCTTTTTTATCTTCTTTTTCTTAGGTAAGTCCCTTTAACATTTCATATAATAAGGGCTTGGTGATGATGAACTCCTTGAATTTGACCTTATCTGAGAAGCACTTTATCTGTCCTTCCATTCTAAATGAAAGTTTTGCTGGATAGAGCAATCTTGGTTGTAGGTCTTTGGTTTTCATGACTTGGAATACTTCTTTCCAGCCCCTTCTTGCCTGTAAGGTCTCTTTTGAGAAATCAGCTGACAGTCTGATGGGAACTCCTTTGTAGATGACAGTCCCCTTATCTCTTGCTGCTTCTAGGATTCTCTCCTTCATTTTAATTTTGGCTAATATAATGATGATGTGCCTTGGTGTGTTCCTTCTTGGGTCCAACTTCTTTAGGACTCTCTGAGCTTCCTGGATTTCCTGGAGGTCTATTTCCTTTGCCAGATTGGGGAAGTTCTCTTTTATTATTTGTTCAAATAAGTTTTCCACTCATGACTGTTCCTCTTCCCCTTCTGGTACCCCTATAATTCGGATGTTGGAACATTTAAAGATG